CCGACCGGGTGGGGGGAAAGACGAACCACGTGAACGAGTGAAGCTGCTGCCAAAGAAAAAGTGTACAAGAAGTAGAACTGACCAGTAGGCGGCGGGGGTGGCGCGGGCGGGGAGTTGGGGGGGGGGGAAAACAGGAGTAGCCTGGCGGGCCAGGGAGCGTGGCGTGGCGTGGGCATCATAAAATGCTGCTGCTGCTGCCGTAAATATTCGTTAGATGCGTGGGGTGGAAGAGCGCGAGTGTATATGTGTGTATTGGGGGGGGGAAGAGAGAGGAGGGGGAGGCAGAGGGAAGGAGGGTGAGGAGGAGCATTGAAGTGCGGGACGGACAAATGGTTACGTGGAAAAGAGAGATGTTCCCCTAACTAATTGACAATATACAGGTGCTGTACGGCATGGACACCCTAAAACCCGATACATGAATGTACGACAGCACTCACCAATGCACGCCACGAGTCCGTCTTTCCAGCCCTTGTGCTCCACCAAGCTCTGACACGTCACTCCTAGACCCCATAAGAAAAGCGTCAGATCTCGGATGTAGTACGACCATCTAGGGCGGCCGTACAATGCCGTACAAGGAAGAACCGTACACAGTGGCACAAGAAAGGCGGGGCGGTATATTGTTGCCTGAGATGACACGCGCTTGATGTACGAAAAAGGCGACACAGACGTACATACGGGAAATCGCGATCGCATTCGGTTATTGCGCGCGTTCACCTGCCTTTACATCAACTCCCTCGAGTCCTCTTTTACTGCAATTGCTGCTGTGTTGCTACTATGTTGCTACTGCTGCTGCTATTGCTACTGCTGTTGCTACTATGTTGCTGCGACTGCTACTGTTGCTACTGCTGTTGCTGCTATGTTGCTACTGCTGCTACTACTGCTGTTACTGTGTTGCTGCTGCAATTGCTGCTGTGTTGCTACTGCTGTTGCTGCTATGTTGCTGTTATTGTGAGTCGCGGCGGACGAGGGTCCCTCGATGCATAACTCAAGAGACCCCTTTCCCCCAACCCTCAATTTCCCCTACCCGGCAGGTGTGAGTACGGGTCCGAACTGCCGGTCAACTGAACGTACAGTACGAAATACGGCACCCGAGTTGACAAGGACGTTGATACAGAACGCGAGGAAGTACACGATGGTGTTGCTGACGTGGAGCCAGGAGGTGTCCGCTGAACGGGGGAAGGGGGGAAAGGGGGGAGGAGGTTGCAGACACGGTGTGTATGTATGTATGTATGTATATATGTATGTATGTATGTATGTATGTATGTATGTATGTATGTATGTATGTATGTATGTATGTATGTATGTATGTATGTATGTGTGTTGTAGGGGAAAGGGGAAATAACGGAAATTCGTCCCTGGGATCCTTGAAGGCATTTTTGGATGCAATGACGAGCGGATGAACTACGACACCACTAGAGCTCATGGGGGCCTTATTATGGCTTTTTTGTGGGGTATTTCTGTAGGTAGGAAAGTATATATACATACATACATACATCTCCGCTCCCCCCCCCCATTCCCCCCCTTTTGGGCGTTGACTGCCTGACCTGGGGACCCCCATAGCCCCCGGACTGCCGTGCCGAGCTGCCGAAGGGGTTCCCACGCTGGAGACACCTTTCTTGGGTTTTGCCTAGCCACCACGCACGTGCACCGTGTCTGTGCTCCTCTGTGTACGCGTGTGTGTGTGTGTGTGTGTGCACCGTGACCAGCATGAGTTCGATCATTGTATGCGAAGCGGCCGGGTGCAAGACAGGCAGACAGACAGACAGGCAGACAGGCGCTCCTCACAAGAACCAACGGGCTGCAAAGGGGAGTCCGTCGCCTGTGTGAAGGGTTGGTGAAGGAAAAGTACATGAAGGCGCAGGGTGCTGTGGTGGATGTGTGTATGTATGCACGTGTACGTACGTATGCTTGTATGCATGAATGTATGTATGTATGCGTGAATGTATGTATGAATGTGCAGTGACATAAGAAGGGTACCGCACAGCATATCGCATTTGAGACAGTGCGCGTGCGCGTCGAGTGCTGACGAAGTTGACGTACCCGCGCAGAATGGCAGCTGCCATATCGAGGGTCGTCGAGGAGCTGTCGGAGATGCGGGTTCATCTATTGTGCTTGGCGCTGAAGATGAAGGAGGAGTGGGCTCTCGTTCCCCAGGCAACCCCCCTGCGCTTGCCCTGCGGTCATGCTCCTCTGCTTCCGCTGTCGAAGTTGAGGGCCCGGCACGTGCGTCGCTGCGCGGTACTGTGCCTAGAAGGACCTCGCTCTCAGGCATTAAACGTGTGGTATAAAACTTATTTGGCCATGTTGTCGCAAGTATCCGCAGAGAATGAAGCCAACACCTCCCAAAGTTATCACCGCAACCACGCGCTACGCAACTTTTCTATCCCGTGTATTATTGAACTGGACACTAAAAAGGGCGAAAGGGCGTTGGCGAGTTGTTGCCTCCTTGTGAATACTGTCTTGCTGCACTTACTGCAATACTGCAAAGTAATACTCGCTTTAATCATAGCTGTGGATATGCATGTTGCAACGGTGTGGGTTTGTGATGCTATTTTGGCCTATCGTACGGAATCCAGTTGAACATTTCGCTATCTTGCAACTTAAGGAGCAATGCAGCTGACCTACTTGTCCAATGTCCGTTCTCGTTTTCATATGTGCGAGGGTGCACTAGCTTACTAATGCTTGTCCCGTGGGGCCTGTGACCCTGTGGCCCTGACCCCGCGTGGCTGGCGTTCAGGTGTCGCCTTCACTTTTCTTTGCAGACGGAACTTATTTACGTTTTATCTACCAGTGCTTTGTAGCCCGGCAACCGAGCAGGTCCTACCGTAATCCCGATCACCTAAGCAAATGGTCTCCCTCGTCTTCCCAATCTCGCAAGCACTCTCACATCACCAGACTTTCTTACACGGCCTCTCTATGTCGCTCCAACGTCATCCGTGTCATGCTGCACAGATGCAAATCTATGAACATCTCTTACGTCTGTTACTATCTGTCGTAACGATGGTGGAAGAGGAGGATGTGTGAGGAAGGTCCAAGTCAAGGTCCCTCTAACAATCCCCTCTTACCACAACGAAGCGGGAATTAACACCGGTGGGTTATATCCGTGCATAATTCTTTCGCATATTAGGTTCATCATTTATATCCGAGAGACGAAGTGTTGTAGGTAAGTGGAGAAGTGGCACGAGTAACTACGTGCAACTACGTTTTCTCTGCCATAGATGCAGACTGACTTACCCGCGCGATCGTCAGTTGCGGGCATATGTAGCCATACATATGTTTTCTCCTTACCTGTTGCGCTAATAAATGTACCGTTTCTTTCAAGCTTGCAGGAAGACCAACAAGGAATGTAGACATCTGCGATTACACGTCATGCGTTCGAACCCGGTTTCATCAGTTCCCCGAATCTCGACATCCAGCAATCTCACGTTGTCGGCAGTAATCCACTAACCACACACACACACACAGGTAGGCGGCGCAATTCCTAGAGTACAACTTCACACCTCTGGATAATTCCAGGACACCGGCACCGGCAAGCGTTACATCGACCGCGCGGATCATATGCGTTTTCAAACAATTGTAATATACCACACCGCGCTTCTTGCGATTTTACCCTATCCACTTGCAACCCACATGAAAAGGTGGTCATTAATACAAACCCTTCACGCATCTTCTTTCGGGTGGTGTTGATGGTGAACCTACTCCTGATAGATACTTCCCATGCATGTCTAGTCCAATTGAACCAGTTCATGCAAAACCTCTCAGGGCGAAAAGGCGCCGACACAATCTTTTTTAGCATGCCGCAACAACAACGACAACTGCTGTAATGCTTGATAGATTGCTCTGCACCTAACAACAACACACGTTTTGCGGTCGGTGCGTTTTGTCCCTTCCTGTCAACCATTTCACACGGGCCGCAGTGTCTTTTTCAACCCGAAACTGCACTGCCCAGACCGGCAACTGCCTGCGCGACTGCATTGGCATTGGCATTGGCGCTGCCCCCTGACTGAGGGGCGCACTGCGCCACCGCAGAAGACTGCGCCAGGGCCCGAGCCACGGCCTGACCGGTACCGGACGAGGCGGCGGCGGCTTGGGCAGCTGCAGGGTTGTACGCCGTGTACGAAGGAGGCACAAAAGGGCAAAGGGGTCACCAAGGCACCGTCGCCCCAGTGTCGGATCACTCAGCAGGCGAGGTAGGGAAGTGAGGGGAAGTGAAACGGCGGAAGAGAAGTAGACGGAGCGGCAGCACAAAGAAGGCAGGGAACAGGGGCATAAACGAAATAACGAGGATGCCACGTCAGCTGCAGCAGATGTCGATGTTCGAAGGCAGGTCTGCTGAGATGAGACAGGTTGGGACAGGGACGGTAGCCCCTCACACCACCTGGTGTGCCAAGGGCACGTAGGGCCCCGATAGGTTATTCGGGAGGAAACAAAGAGGATTCATTCGTGCACAACCGAACTTTTTGGATGATTTTTGGGCATGAAGAACCTTGATTGAGCACAGCCAACCGGCTGTTTCTCCCCCCTCCTCCCCCCCCCCCCCCCAACAGCTGCCCTCCCCACCCGCACCTGCCAGGACGTTGGCCACCCCACCACATCCAGAACTGGCAACCGCCTGAGCCAGGGCCTGAGCGTACGCAGCGCCCAGCCCGGAAGAGGTGCCGCTGGCCAGGGCGGCAGCTGCAGCCGCACCCGCGCCCGCTACGGCGGAGTTGTTGCCGTTAGACTGAACCAGAGCCTGGGCGATGGCACTGGACACCGCATTGGGGTTCTGTGGCGGGTTTCGGAGCGGGGTTTAGGGGTTGAGATCTCATATAAAGCGCTTGCGACTATGGTTTTAGAGTGGAAAAAAGAGCTTCTGACCCTGCAAGGTGGGGATGACACGAATGTAGGTAGCTTACGCATAACGCAAGACGATGGTGGGTCATTATGAAACAATGAATGTCGTGGAAGCCCGGCCGCCTCCGTCACGACGGATCAGAGGGGAGAGAGAAGGGAAATCCTTTTGCCGGCGACCCACCGAACCACCAACCCACCGACCCCGTATTACCAACCATGTCCCACCTGGCTATATGCCTGAGCTAGAGCCTGAGCGATGGCGGTGGTGGTGCCGCTGCCCGCAGCATAACCCGCTGCCAAGACCTGTTACAACATAGGAAAAGAAGACAATGAGAAAAGGAAAGAAGACAGCAGAAGGTACATCAGGAAAGGAATCCGTTGGCTAGAGATGAAAGATGAATGAACGGGGCGGAGGGGGGAACCTACGAGCACAGTTCGAGGATAGAGCCGGGTGAGGTGGAGGGCTATCGGACACCGGGATCGCAGGAAATGGACAAGTACGTTGTTGCAACCTAAGAAAGCATGTCGTGGGTGATTATGATCAATCATCGCTCTGGATGGTGCGGGGCTTGTGCGGTACGCACCTTTTACCCACACACGCTTACTCTAAAATACCACAAGAGGAAAAAACACAAGAGTTTGTCTCTTTCACACACAGCCACACACCTGTGCTAGCGCTGTGGCGGATGATCCCCCGGAGGCGGCGGCGCTGGCGATGGCATTGGCGACGGCAGTGGTGTTGCCGGCAGATACCGCCTGCAGGCGTGTGTGTGCCAAAACTTGATATAGGTACAGACAGGAGGCAAGGTACAGTAATGCGACGTTCAATCAACACATTTTCACCACCACCCTCCATTCCAACCCCGCAACGCCACTTCATCATATGTTACACCACCTCCGAGCCTGCCTACCTGCGCAAACGCCTGCGCCACTGCGGTTGCGGTGGTTGGCCCTCCCTGTTGTACGGCCTGCGTCAGGGCGTTACCCACTCCCTGCACCTGACCCGCGCCCCCCGTCTGCTGAGCCTGGGAAAGGGCCTGGGCGATGGCCGTGGCGGCGGCCGAGGGGGCTGGGGGCAGGAGGTTTAGATTGGGGGAGAGAGGGGTGGGGGGAGAGGGGGGTGGAAGGTCAACAAATATGGGAGAGCAAACTGCTTTGCGAATCACCGAGTTTTGTAGACAGGGGGGGACATACACCACTTTTCCGACCTACCCAACAGAAACTGAATTTCAGTTTGTATTCGGTTTGTAACCAGTTTGTTTATCCCAACACGATACACGAAGTAAACCAACCAGTAGGGACCCCACCACGATACACCGAGTCCCCCCACCCCCCCTCATGCCTTACAGCTGGCGGCGGCCTTGGAAATGGCCTCCGCAGCCGCCTTCGCCGAGCCACCTCCCGAGGCAGCTGCCTGCGCCAGCGCCTGAGCCGCAGCCTGAGAACCGGTTCCGGAGCTCACAGCCTGCAGCACAAGAGGTCCGTGCAACCGCAACGTAACGGTGTGAACATTACTAGACACCACCAAGCAACAAAATCAGGAGCCAGACGCGGGCTACGTTAACCAAACCGAGTCGAAGCTCGCATCAGAACAAAGCTGTCCAGCCACATCTTGCGGCCCCACTTCCAGGACCAGGATTCGTCCAAGGGCCTTACGATGTGCACTCGTGCTGCATTTCAGAGAAAACGTGTCCCCTCATCCCGCCCGCCCAGCCAAAGCCCTACACCCACCTTCGCAATCGCTTCCGCCACGGCCTGCTGGGCGTTGGGGCTCTGCGAGGCGGCCTGGGCCAGTGCCTGCGCCAGGGCCTGCGAGCTGCCCTGACCCTGGGCAGCCGCCAGCGCGTTAGCAACCGTGTTGGCGGCGGCTCCCTGGGCTGTAGCGACACACACACACATCACCACGACAGAGAAAGAAGCAGTAACGCCACCACCAGCGGGAGAAGGGTGGAGGGGATTGGCAAAGGTCTATAATGACCAGATGGCAGTAGTCGGGGGCCTGATCACACACACAAACACACACAAGCGCACCGCACATTCGTACAAACAGGCTGAGGCCCCCAGAGAGCGGGGTTACAACACACTCCCTTTTTATTTTAACTTGTACATGCCAAAGGTCTGCGGGTATGGATGCACGCGTGTGATGTGTTATTTTTTTAGGAGACACGTAAAAGATAAGTGTGCAAGAGGAAGTTCGAAAATGCCCACCAAGCGAAAGCCATCGCAAGTCACCGCCTGTCGGCCCGATACGACCAGCCAGGATACCAACGGGTCGACACAATGCATGAGCTCCCCCCCCACTGGTTCCCCTACAGAGAGCGCTACACGGGTAGTTGGGTAGTTGCTGGTGGGTTAGTTGTTAGATGGATATTTCAAAAACTCACACTCGGCGGACGCCTGAGCGATGGCCTGTGCCGCAGTGTTCTGCGCCGTTCCGCCCTGCGAATTGGAGTGTGCGGTGGATAGGACAGCAGTGCGGATCCCTTCTTTTGTTTTGGGGGGTTTTGATTTGTTTTCTTGCGGAGAGAACCAGAGGGAGAGTCATCCTGATGATGTGATGGACTGGAAGTAATCACAAAGGTTGAGATTTACACGAACGCCCGATGTGAGAGCTTTCATGGAAAAGTAGATTTATTTACAGATACCCGGATATAAATGGTCGGCCTGGCGAATATTCAGCGAATATTATTAAAAAAACACAAATCGGCGACTGGCGGCGCCGGCAGGTTGATCGGCAGGCGATCGACACGGGAACCCGGTGAACAGTGTCACAGGCCCCGGGAAAGTGAGGAGCGGCAAACGGAGGAGTGCGATAGTAGCCTGCACCCGTGGACCCTAGCAGTCCACAACCTGGTTCATTATCATTGAATGACTGCCCGCAAAAGACACCCGAATGCTGTGTCAATTTGCCTGACGTATGCAACAACACGATAACAGGCGTTTGGCTGAACCTGACCCGGCAAGCGCGCATTTATGTTTTCTCATGATGCTCGCTGCAATAACCATAAAACACATAACATTCATCTTGTAGCAGCACGCAAGACATATAGACGCAAGACCCGCAGCCGCTGCCACAGCCACATGTGGACTCACCTGCGCAGCGGCGTTGGCAAGTCCTTGTGCTGCTGCGCCGCCAGTGCCGCCGCCGGCGCCGCCGCCGCCGGCACCCACGATGGCCTGGAGCAACGAGGCGTGTACGAGTTGGGATAGGGCAGGGCGGGTCGGTTCGGTTCGGGGTGAAATCACTACACTAATCAAAGTACCGTGAGTTACTCAGACGACATGGGGCTACAAAATGGGGCAGAGGAGTGGTGCGGCAGAACGGGGCGTAGTGATGCTCAGCTGCTGAAGTGTTACAGGAGTCCCGCGTGCGACCCGATATAAGTATATCCACCGCAACTCTTATCGTTCCCTTTGGTCGTTAGTATCCTCTTTTATCACTTGCTTTGTCTGAAGTGCGAGGGTAGGATGGTGCTTATGGGCGATCTGGCGGCCCTTGAGCCCTCGGCTAGTATTGGGGGGTTTGCAGGTACGGGGAACGCGCCCCCACGGCCATGTGAGATCCTCAAACGGATGATCACCACCGTGGTGGGACTATATTTACATCGATGTGACATTCCTGCAAAAATATCATTCCATGCCAGCACCAATCCCTGCATGCGCATGTGCGAGGTACCTCCTAATACCAGTGGGGGAGGTGACGGCTGATAAAAACTGAAAAGCCCACGGGTCAAAAACGAGTCTTACCCATGGTCAAGAAGGGTCTTTTGACCGCAGCCCACCTGGGAAAGCGCCTGGGCGTTGCCTGATCCGGCAACCTGCGCGAAGGACCGCGCATCCGCTACCGCCTGGCCGGCGTTTGAGGAGGCAGAGGCCTGCGACGTCGCCTGTGCGCTTGGCGGCGGCTGTTGTTGGCGCAGAGCTCGCCGGTGTGCGACTTCAGCAGCCGTGCCTAGGTTAAGTTAAAATGGGCACGGAAGAGTAAGGCAATAGCAGCAGAGCATGAGCGCCAACAGATAAGGTTTTAATTAAGGACAAGAAAGGCGATAGGCACCTAATAGAGAGTTCCGCAACAAGTTGCAACATGGAAGAGTGTGAGGACGAAGAGGATAAGAAAGGAATCGAATAGGTGGTGAAGTCTCAAGTGCACTAATTTAAATAAGACAAACAACATAAGGGATAGAAAATGTGCACAGATGCTGAGCAAGTCGCGCGATACCGGAAGTGCGGATAAAGACATCCAGACCAGCATGCACGTCAATCGACGCGCGTTTGAGAATGCAATTAGGCCATAGAATTCGTCACACATTACATAAGATGTAAAATCAATATCTTTTGTTTTAACTCCTGGTACAGCTGTCTTGCAACGCCTTGGACTCAGAACAAAACGGCGGCTGTTCCCGGAGTTGTGGCAGCGCCACGTACACACCGACAGCAAGTAATGGGAGAAAATTATATACAAAGACAACATTACGAATTATATACTATCTCAAAATAAGAAACCCGGAATTGGGCGAACACGTCGTAATAAGCTGCGGAAACGGCCGAAAGAGTCTGCTCGCTTCATGATAACTTTGTGCGTGAGAAAATGCACGTGTGTAATCTCGCCATAAAGGCGCCGCCGTACAATCGCGGACCACGCACATTCTCACGCATCAATTCATCACCTAGCGAGCCTAGCAGCTGTATCTCCAGACCCACCCACCCCACGTACCTACCTAATTTGGTAATAAAGTAACGTGGCCTCACCTGCCGCAGCCACCAGGTCAGGCCCCGTGCCCGCCAGGGATGCAATGAGGAGCGCCACCAGCACAGCGGCAGTCCCTCCCCTACCAGCAGGGGTAGCGCCCCTCTTAGCGTAGCGAGCAGCCATCCTCCTCAACAGCTCTCACGGCTTCGCTCTCCTTTTGTTCGGCCTGCGTGCGCCGCGAACGAGGAAGCGATCACCGTATTTATTGATAGCGAGAATCATATATCCACGCAATCGGTAGCCTGCGCAGCTTTTCTTACACAGTGCGTGTCCCGCTTGTCACTTCCAAGTTTGGTGAAGGGGACGAACGATATTTGGACCGTTATTAGAAACCCGAATGGCAGTGCGTGATGGCGCGCCGCGCTTTATACGTGGATCACTCATCACGCATTTTCCGAAACATGTACGACACCTAGCACGTGCTTTGGCCGCGCTCACGCTATGCCCGTTCGCTCCGGCGGCTGACCTGGAAGCCGCCTTCGCTCTTCGCTGCTATCTTCTATCCTTCGTCGACCCCTCAAAATGTTTTTCACCATGAACATCATGAAACGCAAAACAATATTTCTGCCGCGAACACGAACAGCGACACATTTGGCCTACCAACTATAGTTCATGTCCGCCGCCCGAGGCCGATTTTCCCTAACTTTGGATGCTCATCGTTGGACGCTGCGGACGATGCGGAGGAAGGCATGTCCCTTCGTTCATTACTATATTTCCACCCCGTTCTTCCCCTCGAGGCTTGTTTTCATGTATTGCCAAAGATTGCCGCTATTATTTTCTCCCTCTCTTCTCGGTCGTCTCTTTCCAACGCCGACTTCCTTTTTCTTATTCTTATATAGTGCAGGAGTGTAGATTGGCTCTGCCCTTTGCGATAACAACAGCAATAGTGTGTGGTGATGACCTAGAGGCAAAGTTCGTAAAAGGTCGAGAATGCACTAGGGTAGGTAGGGAGCAACAATCAATAAGCCTGGCTGCCTGCCTGCCCGTTGGAATCCTATCGCCAGCTGTTGAAGAAACCGAGGCACTCTTGGCCGTGCGTGAAGGCGCCGGCTGTAGACAGGCACCGCCATGCCCATCGATGTCAATAAAGCCGTTCTGGATGTGTGTGGGGGGAGGGAGGGAACGTAACAGCGCTCAGCGCTCAACCTTCGCCGTCCCCTAGCGGTGCTGATTCTAGTTCTTATTTCTTTGGCTTTGCATTATATATAGTACATGTGCGTTCAGCGGCCTTATTATTTACCAGCCATGCACATTGCACGTTGCTTGTATATGCAAAGGAAACGCAAACGTGCATACATACGTACATACCTACATACATACGTACAGGATATTATTGTTGCGTAGATGAATCGCGCGTCGGATCGATCCAATCCGATCCGATCAGATCAGAGAAGCGAAGGATCCTCTCGATCGATTCGGCCCCGCCGAGGCAATACTACTACCACTACTACTAATAATAATAATGTAACAGTTTGTGTTGCTGTGCGGAGCGAAATCGTCATTTTGCTAAGCAGCAATGGTCGCATCGTCATTTTTAAGCTCGCACGGTTTGCCGTTTGCGTCCGGCTCTTTAGTGGTGTCTGCTGATGTGTGCTCGGCGGTCTACGGCGTCTATGACAGCAGCAGCCCGTCTCTGTTTCCGTTCACGCAATTTCCGACCGCTATCCCTCCGCGAGTTGACATGACAGCAGCAGGGCGGTATCTGCAGAAAAAAGTTCTAAGCAGCACGCGCATGAAGACTGTGATGAAAGAGAAAGCAGTCCAAACTGAAGGAGTTGCACCCTCAGCAGTCGTGTGGCTACGATCTTCGGTGGTGTGGATAATCCCCCATTTTCCCCTGCGTCAAAAGTTGCTTGGCCGAAAAAGGGCAGGGTCGCGGCCGCGATTTCGCCGGTCTACATGTATAGAAGTTGGAAGATAATGGAAACTGACAGTTTTCTACGTGAAGCGTTGAAAACTAAGGTTTTCTGCGAATACGGAGTGTCTTTGCCGTATGGCGTACGAGCCAGTGTGGCTCTTGTGTCGCGGCACGCGACAGTGTTTGCTAATTCGGGTTGTTCGTAGCTACGTTTGGGTGCTGCCGTGAAGCGGTTGGTCTGTAGGCCTTGGTGTTCCGCTTCGTGGTAGTGTGCCCTCAATTACAAAGTCCGATTCTGACAGCGAGACTTCGGTCAGCTACAACACGATGTACACCGAACTAAAAGCGCGACTAGTCGCACTTAAGGAAAATAAAGATGTCAAGGCTGCGCAGGAGCGTCGCGCCGCTGACCCGGGCGTAATTTTGAACAAGCAGCAGCTGGCTGCCATGGACCAGCTGAACGCCGTGAAGCTGCAGCTGACAACCATTAAGAAGCTTATGGACACGAAGCCTGACGTGCAGGCGGTCGACGGTCCACCGGCGAAGCGGGCCCGTGTCGCCCTTGAGGATTTCAAATGTGACTTCGGCGCCAGCGAGGGCAAAGCGAACAAGTCTCTCAGCGGACAGCGCGCGCATATCGAGAAATGCTACAATGCGGTAATGGACATTGAGGACGCGTGGCGCAACGTCCTCGCGGCTCGGCCCGGGGAGGAACGCTTCAGGAACATCGAGGCCATGGAGACTGGCATCACCGACGGCAAGGCCGTGTCCGGGGGGTCGCGAAGGAGCTGGTCGTTGCATACAACCACGGCTGGGAGGTCGTGCATGAGATGCGTGGCATGGCGTACGCGGAGACGGAGGAGGAGCGCAAGGCGCTGAAGCAGGCCGTGAAGGCGGTGGCGGGCAAGAAGCCCAAGCAGGCCAAACCCGCGAGCGTGCCGGCCGGCTCTGGCGCGGGGGCCGGGGTGAAGCAGGCAGCGGCGGCGGGTGTCTGTTTCAAGTGCAATAAGCCTGGGCACTTCGCCAAAGAGTGCAAGGAGAAGTAACGGGGTGTAGTGTGGTGCGGGTGTGAGAGGTAATTCGCAGCTCGTGGGCCCGGGAAGGTCATGGTGGTTTGGAGCCGACGCGGGTGTTAACTCGCGAGTCGGGGCCCGGAGAGGCCGGGGGGGTAACAGCCCCGTGGTGTTTTGGAGCCGACACGAGTGTTAACTCGCAGGTCGGGGCCCGGAGAGGCCGGGGGGCAGCAGCCCCGTGGTGTTTTGGAGCCGACACGAGTGTTAACTCGCAGGTCGGGGCCCGGAGAGGCCGGGGGGCAGCAGCCCCGTGGTGTTTTGGAGCCGACACGAGTGTTAACTCGCGGGTCGGGGCCCGGAGAGGCCGGGGGCAGCGGCCCCATAGCGTGGAAGCGTGTTGTTGACGTTCCTTTTGGCTGTAGCCTTGTGCGGGGTTGGGTGGCTAAGGGCACGGCCGCCCCCTCCGCGATTATTGAAGTTTCGTGGTAGTGTGCCCTCACCCGGCCCTACCCTTTCACGAAGACGTTCTTTCCTTGCGTGCAGGTACTTGTTTGTAACGTAGTCTTCGCATGAAAACTGACAGTTTTCTACGTGAAGCGTTGAAAACTAAGGTTTTCTGCGAATACGGAGTGTCTTTGCCGTATGGCGTACGAGCCAGTGTGGCTCTTGTGTCGCGGCACGCGACAGTGTTTGCTAATTCGGGTTGTTCGTAGCTACGTTTGGGTGCTGCCGTGAAGCGGTTGGTCTGTAGGCCTTGGTGTTCCGCTTCGTGGTAGTGTGCCCTCACCCGGCCCTACCCTTTCACGAAGACGTTCTTTCCTTGCGTGCAGGTACTTGTTTGTAACGTAGTCTTCGCATGAAAACCCCGGCTCAAATGCTGGCTCGACGGCCGCCCTGGGCCCCCTGGGGCCACGCCTTGCTGAAACGCGGGATTTCCGATATTTAAGTAGGCATGGGCGATACACACTAGTTGCGTGTATTAATCTGAGGGGTAGCAGTGTTCAAGAACAAAAAACACGTGTATCGTACATGTTTACACAGATACCGGGTTTGTCTACATACATACCAAGTACACACTGATGCCCCCGGAGGTTCCGTCGAAAATCCTTCCGATGGTGGAAGGTAAAAGTGCCCCTGGTCGATGGACGGTGGTGACCTGGGATAAAATTGTCCTGCGAGCCGACCAGGAATGGAGTTGAGCCGCCGTCGATCCGGCAGATTCCGTTGGATGCCGGTGGTGGGTGCGGAACCTGAGCGATCCACTGAGAAATTGACTAGGGTGACTGGATGAGGGTGCCCCGAAATACCATGGGTCAGGCAGGGGTCTGCCGGGTAGCGGCCGCAGGGTGAAGATATCCACACCCCACTGTCCCACACATCACACATCATCATACCGGAAATACCGCTTATCAGCATGCCCCACAGATTATTAGGGTTGCCTTGCGCGCTTATGAAATGGCAAGACATGACAAACCCAATCTGAGTGCGAGGTTGTCCACCGGCTGATACGGCCTGCGTGCGTTGCGGGTTTCGGCTTCAGGTGGCCATCCGCAACCATCTCATCCTTCATAGCCTGATCTACCTAAAACCCGACAGAGAACCCCTGCATGCGTTATAGTTACAAGTTACATGTGGGCTCACCGAAACTCAATTACCCCCTTTGGACGCTAGTCTGGGCTGATGTGCGGTGCTTCCTTTCCCCCGTGGCTTTTAGGCGTTGTAGTATTGCCCTTGGGCCGTCGGCTCGTATGGGTAGTCTTACAGGTATGGGGTCACGCACCCCCAACCATGTAACACACACACACACACGCACACACACACGCACACACACACATGCACACACACACACATACACACACACACACACACACACACCTAAGTTACAAGTGCCGCACGCGTGCGGGGGATCCGTCAAAGCCGGGAGGCCATGGACTATATATATTGAAAGTTGGTTACACCATACAACCGACGGCGGTTTGGGTCCTGCCAACTAGACCCCTCCCATCCAGTCACCCGACATCCGTAGAGACAGCCATCAGCCATCGCCACCATCTCAGAATGTTATATATGCTGGGCACTCCAAGAGTACATCCTCTTCGTCTATCTTCCACAGCTTGGAGCTCGCAGAACTTGCTTATCTTATCTCTCCTCACATGCAATTACCCCCCATAAGCTCTATTTGCTTCTAGCGGCCAGCGACATAAACGAAAGCGCATTAGCAACCAATGTGCATCAACAGGGATCATCAACATGTTGGCACGCAGCAACCAGCAGCTTGACCCAGCTGCTTTTACAAACGGCAACCCCCATCGAGTGTAGTGCATTTTGTATTTTCAGCCATCTTACTGCTAATCAGGTTGCTTCCATCCGAGAGGGGAAATCGTGTGCTACTGCAGAAAGCCTCTAATGCTTCATGAAGTGGTGACGAAGTTCAGAAAGTATTGGATCCCTTGGATATTTTTTCCGGAACACCAAAGGGGAAGAACTAAAGGGGTGTGTAGCGCCATTTTACCTTGCGATTATCGCTCGCAGCACACGCAGGAGGTAATCCCATACATCCCACACACCAGGCTGTCGAAGTTTCCAAAAAGCGAAACAGCTTGGACGCATAACCTTCTGTGAGTAGCTCCCTCCTCAGTGCCGGGAGGACCGCCTGGCACAGGGTTGTTGTTGATGTTGTTACAGGGTGGTTAAGCTTCACCAGTGGCCTCCTTCCCGAGGCAGTTCCCTGCTCTCCCCTGCTAGAGGGGCACCCTAATCCATTCACCCCATCCGACTTCAGAGTGTACTCTTTGAGTTTGGCAACTCACCACCAGCATCCAACGAAATCTAGCGGATCAACGGCGCGTCAACTTAGTTCCTGGTTAGCTCGCAAGTTGATTTTATCACGTCCTACACCGTCCTCAAGATGGGGGGCCACCTCCCATTTCAACACCTCTCAAACACTCCGAGAGGTCGGCAGGCGGACTTGAACTCGGACGCGCCGGGAGCAGATGTCAGGCCTTTAATCTCTGCCAGCCGCCTGCCTATGCCCCTGTTGTTGTATGGGCAAGGAACCCCGGCTGAGTCAAAGTGCCTATTCCATTCCAGAAGCCGATAGGATGCCCCATCTGGGTCCAGAAGTAGTTCAGAGGAAATTACGAGAGCTCAGCGGATCTAGCTAAGCACGTACGGCAGGCCTGGATAGGTCTTGCAGATGTGGCTCGATAAGCAGAGGGGGATGGTGTGTTACATGTGGATGCGCTCTGGGTGTGTGGAGGGTAGCGCTTGGGTGAGCCAGGAAGCTCGTTCATTCCGTTCACATCCCCAACGTACCGCAATAAACCACCAACCATCAACCATCAACAACTATGATCAAGTACGACAACTATAGAATCAAGCATGCTACACCAGGTCAAGTGTCATTTGTCACGATCACATATCCTTCCTCAAACCGGTTGTTACACCGGCTTTAGGTCCATGTGCCCGCCATAACCACCACAGAATGTGGTTTTACTATTCACCGTCATCCGAAGCTCCAACTGCGTGCGCTGGGTGCTGCTCTCCACTGTCACTACAACAAGGCAAGCTGGAGCTGCATGCAGCTGTATATCCCAGCAAAGGCGTGGCCCTTTCAGCCTGCCATCCTCCACCAGTCCAGTGCATGTGTACTCCAACAGCCTCTAAACGCAGTCTCGACCAAACGCAACAACAATGACGACAATATTTTACCACTTTTAGATTCCTACCTACTGCCGCGTACATCCACCTACAACGTCAACATAAGCGGAAACCCTTTGCAACCAGCTCAAAATATTGCTGTGCACATGCATATCCCTCGGGCCGCGGTGGGTGTTTTCTTTCAACCCGAAAGTGCGCTGCCCAGACCGGCAACTGCCTGCGCGACTGCATTGGCGTTGGCATTGGCGCTGCCCCCCGACTGAGGGGCGCACTGCGCCACCGCAGAAGACTGCGCCAGGGCCTGAGCCACGGCCTGACCGGTACCGGACGAGGCGGCGGAGGCTTGGGCAGCTGCAGGGTTGTACGAGTTTAGGTGTTCAGCGGCAAAAGGGCCAAGGGGGCACCAAGGGGGGCAGCCGTGATGATGATGGTTACAGTGACAGATGGTCAGGTCAGCGCAGAGAGGTGGAGTACTGCTGGGTAACGAGAAAGAGCTCGGGGGACAGGGGACTACAAGAACAACCCAGGTCCCAACCGGCTGTTTCTCCCCCCTACCCTCCTCAACAGCTGCCCTCCCCAGCCGCACCTGCCAGGAAGTTGGCCACCCCTCCACATCCCGAACTGGCAACCGCCTGAGCCAGGGCCTGAGCGTACGCAGCGCCCAGCCCGGAAGAGGTGCCGCTGGCCAGGGCGGCAGCTGCAGCCGCACCCGCCCCCGCTACGGCGCCGCTATTGCCGTTAGACTGGACCAGAGCCTGGGCGATGGCACTGGACACCGCGCTGGGGTTCTGCGCAACGTGTTTCGGAGCGGGGGGTTGAGGAAGCAGTTGTAGGAGTTGTGGATATGCGAGGAATTGTGCGAAAGGGGGTTTGGACGAGACGAGATCTGGGATATGGGAAATAGGGCGGCCTAAAACACTTCCGGATTGGCAGCTATCTGAACATCAGGGCAAAGAGAGCACGTACATATATACAAATAGCTAGGTTCCCCCCCTTGATCCCCAGGGTAGATGATATCTGGAAGATATTCGTGTCAGGTCATAGGAGGGCCACGGCAGGACCCCAGGGGCTGGCTTAGCCCCTGGGCTGGCTTAGCCCCTGGGCTGGCTTAGCCCCTGGGCTGGCTTAGCCCCTGGGCTGGCTTAGCCCCTGGGCTGGCTTAGCCCCTGGGCTGGCTTAGCCCCTGGGCTGGCTTAGCCCCTGGGCTGGCTTAGCCCCTGGGCTGGCTTAGCCCCTGGGCTGGCTTAGCCCCTGGGCTGGCTTAGCCCCTGGGCTGGCTTAGCCCCTGGGCTGGCTTAGCCCCTGGGCTGGCTTAGCCCCTGGGCTGGCTTAGCCCCTGGGCTGGCTTAGCCCCTGGGCTGGCTTAGCCCCTGGGCTGGCTTAGCCCCTGGGCTGGCTTAGCCCCTGGGCTGGCTTAGCCCCTGGGCTGGCTTAGCCCCTGGGCTGGCTTAGCCCCTGGGCTGGCTTAGCCCCTGGGCTGGCTTAGCCCCTGGGCTGGCTTAGCCCCTGGGCTGGCTTAGCCCCTGGGCTGGCTTAGCCCCTGGGCTGGCTTAGCCCCTGGGCTGGCTTAGCCCCTGGGCTGGCTTAGCCCCTGGGCTGGCTTAGCCCCTGGGCTGGCTTAGCCCCTGGGCTGGCTTAGCCCCTGGGCTGGCTTAGCCCCTGGGCTGGCTTAGCCCCTGGGCTGGCTTAGCCCCTGGGCTGGCTTAGCCCCTGGGCTGGCTTAGCCCCTGGGCTGGCTTAGCCCCTTACAACATGGGAGACAACATTCCCGCACCTAGTCCATCCCGCTGTGTGCAGTGGGAGAACGAAAGGAGAGGAGCATTTTTTTCCCGCTTCTGTAAATGACTTCAACTGCTATATAATAAAACTACAGCTGTATAACTTCTATAGTAGGACAGGGGTGTATGAACCGGGAGCAGACTGAACCACCGACCCACCGACCCCGTATTACCAACCATATCCCACCTGGCTATATGCCTGAGCTAGAGCCTGAGCGATGGCGGTGGTGGTGCCGCTGCCCGCAGCATAACCCGCTGCCAACACCTGTTACAACATAGGAAAAGAAGACAAGAGATAGATCAAGGTTGGAATTCCGTTCGCTAGGATGAAAGGGGGGTGGGAAATTCCGACTACGACCAGAGCCGGGTGAGGTGGAGGGCTACGTCGCATTACACATCCCGTAACTCTCCTTTTTAAGATGTGCGGTTCTTACCCCTCACCAGTTGCCAAGTCGTTAGTGGGCCTTGTCACATATACAATACAATCCCAACGGCCACACGTCCCGAATACATGCTGATACGCAACCCCACAAACACACACGCACACCCTGTCTCTCTCACATAGCCCCCCGCACGCCATGACACACACACACAGCCACACACACAGCCACACACCTGTGCTAGAGCTGTGGCGGACGATCCCCCGGAGGCGGCGGCGCTGGCGATGGCATTGGCGACGGTGTTGGTGTTGCCGGCAGATACCGCCTGCAGGCGTGTGTGTGCCAAAACTTGATCAATAGGTACAGACAGGAGGCAAGGTACAGTAATGCGACGTTCAATCAACTCACACATTGATAACCACCACCCCCCATTCCAACCCCGCAACGCCACTTCATCATATGTTAAACCACCTCCGAGCCTGCCTACCTGCGCAAACGCCTGCGCCACTGCGGTTGCGGTGGTTGGACCTCCCTGTTGTACGGCCTGCGTCAGGGCGTTACTCACTCCCTGCACCTGACCCGCGCCCCCCGTCTGCTGAGCCTGGGAGAGGGCCTGGGCGATGGCGGTGGCGGCGGCCGAGGGGGCTGGGGGCAGGGGGTTTAGATTGGGGGAGAGAGGGGTGGGGGGAGAGGGGGGTGGAAGGTCAACAAATATGGGAGAGCAAACTGCTTTGCGAATCACCGAGTTTTGTAGACAGGGGAACAGAACTGAATTTCAGTTTGTATTCGGTTTGTAACCAGTTTGTTTATCCACCACGATGCACGCAGTAAACCAACCAGTAGGACTCCACCACGATACACCGCGTCCCCCCACCCCCCCTCCTGAAACTTACAGCTGGCGGCGGCCTTGGAAATGGCCTCCGCAGCCGCCTTAGCCGAGCCACCTCCCGAGGCAGCTGCCTGCGCCAGCGCCTGAGCCGCAGCCTGAGAACCGGTTCCGGAGCTCACAGCCTGCAGCACAGAGGTCCGTGGGTAAACCACGGCGGCGGCACGACAGCAGGTAAGCAGCTTTTTTCAAGGCCGCGCTTAACAGTTAACCAAACAATGCACATAGGGCCGCACTCGACATTGTTCGGTCTTATTAGACCTCCAACCTCAAGCCCAATTAACCAACCTACAGCAAGCAGCGACAAACGTCAACATACACATCCAACCCCACACCTGCACCCACATCACCCACCCACCTTTGCAATCGCTTCCGCCACGGCCTGCTGGGCGTTGGGGCTCTGCGAGGCGGCCTGGGCCAGTGCCTGCGCCAGGGCCTGCGAGCTGCCCTGACCCTGGGCAGCCGCCAGCGCGTTAGCCACCGTGTTGGCGGCGGCTCCCTGGGCTGTAGCAGCAGCACACACCACGACAGAAAAAGAAGCAGTAACGCCACCACCAGCGGGAGAAAGGGGGAGGGGATTGGCACAAAGGTCTATAATGACCAGATGGCAGTAGTCGGGGGCCTGACCTCACAAACACACACACACACAAGCACACCGCACATTCGTACAAACAGGCTGTGTCCTCCCAGGCGTGAGTGCTCAGCAACACGGACACGGCTCAACAGCGGACGGGCCAGGACGGTGCGTCGAGGTACCTGCCCGAAACACCACACAGCCCCCTCGCGGCACACTGCGGAAACCCCCTGCATGTATTTCCCTCTTCCCTTTCTCCTCCTCGCCCTCACAGCCTCATTTCTTGGCGTAGTTGGGTAGCTGGTTAGT